GGGTTCGAGCCCAGGTCAGGTCACGTAAAATTTGTGATGGGCAAAGTGGCACTGGGGCGGGTTTTCTCCGTACTTCGAATTCCCTGCCAATTTTCATTCCACTGACTGATCTATCCTCCGGGGCTTGTGCAATTGGTCAAATGGTGGACTCAGTCTCACCCCAACTCAAGAAACTAAAAAGAAAAAGCTAAGTAAATCCCAGTGCTACACAACATCGTCAGAACCATTCACAATCGAAATGCGGTTCGTTTCTTTGGTTATGTAGCGACGCTGTGAGTATATAGATATCATAGCGCCATATGATAGGATGAAGGACGGGCGTCAGCAAGGATAGCCCATAGCTTTGCCGGGGTTCGAACGGAGGATCTGCTGAATACAAGGCAAGAGCGAAGCCGCTAAACCGACCTGCTCGGGATCAGAGACTTCACGCAGTCTGAGGGTTATGCTACTGAAAGCCACCCGAAACTTGTGTTTTCAGTCTCCTGCAACTATAAATATTAACACCCTGAATGCACTGGGCCAAGACAGTATACACGAATATAATGCTTAATGCACAATTTTAAGGCACAGAAAGAAAGAGCATTTTGACCGAATAACCTTCAAAGGCACTCGCGATTGCTGGGTTTTTGGGCCTCGGTCATCGTCCGGTATTCTAAAAGTAGAAAACAATGTTTCGAAAACTAGATCTGTTTCCGTCCTCAGGTGAGCGGAGGTGGCACCTACATGGACCAGTGACTGAGGTTAGCTCTTTCTAATGGACCCAGGAGAGTAGGTGTCTCCCCTCTCACCTGAGGACGGAAACAGATCAAGTTTCCGAAACCTTATTTTCTCAAGTTTTTAGATACCAGACGATGGGCAAAGTCCAAAAGCCCAGTAATTCTGAGTGTTATGCACCATCGTCAGAACACTGTAGAATCTACAGATCTTCAATTACCTTCATCAGGAAACATCTGAAGTGCGAACAGCGCAGTGACACTTAGTGCTGAGTCTTGATATCATCTATTTTAATAACTCTTTAAAAATCAGCAATTTTTAAAGTAATAACTCCCTAGGACCGGCTTCCTATAGCGCCATCCCAGGCTCCATTCCATATTTGATCACGTGAGATTTGTGATGACACTGAGGCGAGGTTTATCCGAATACTTTGGTTTCCCCCGCCAATTCTCATTCCTTCACCTGCTCCACATTCACTGATCATCCTGTCATAGACGCTGTATTTTCTTCATCCATAATGATAGCGTCGTTAAATAACTAACCTGAAAGGAAATGATTTTATAGAACGTGAAACGGCAAGATGGCGTCCGTGCTAATACATTCGTGGCCTTTCTGTTTGACATCGATGAGTGTTGAATCATAGGCCTGTACTTTCTAATGAAACCGATTGTAAACATTCGAAACGATTATATATGGAATACTGATTATATGCCATCTGCCATGTGTCTCTATAATAAGTCATTTTTTTCTAGAAATTTGTAAATCCGAAATTGAGCCTCACGTAAAATAGACACGTGGGTTTTAATGAGCCAATAGAGACCAACCTTAAATATGTCCAGTATGAAGAAAGCAGTCTTCTGGGATTTGGCACCGTGTATATATGGTGTTAACCGACGTTTCGGAGGAACGTATCGCCTCCATCTTCAGGATAGAAGGAAACTATAAGCAATCCGCAAGCGAAGAAACTGTGAGAACCGGTAAAACCGCATTTCTTATATCTTCCTTCTACCCTGAAGATGGAGGCGATACGTTCCTCCGAAACGTCGGTTAACACCATATATACACGGTGCCAAATCCCAGAAGACTGCTTTCTTCATAGTCACCGCTGTGGAAACCTCAAATCTTTCATGTTCAGTATTGTTCAAGGTAAACCCCTCTTACCAAATTTCACCTAAATCCATTCAGTGGTAGCGGGAATTAAACACGTGGACAAAGTACCAGACCACAATATGAAGCTGATATTCGACATTACCGAGGGGTATGTTATGAACAAACTGCCTCTGGCGTTGTAGGTACATCGGAAATTCATTTCGTTTCACAAAAATTTGTAATTCTATACAAAATATTAAATCAGAATTAAAAACAAGAACTTCTAGAAAGAACTCATCGCTTACTTTCCCCAATACGACACGGATCGCATAGAAAAAGTCGCGTCCAACAATTTTTCTATTTTTGCGTGTGTATTCGTTGCCGCGATAACGTTTTTACTGAGCCGTTGCCTAGCAACGATAAAGGGATACACGTAAAGACACAGAGATTAATGGTAGGGATTCATGAAGTAAGTCATTGAGCTGGGCTGAAGTGTCATGACTCACATACAGAGTTTCATAAAGACTGGTTCAGGGATTCAAAAGTTAATAGGGTGGATACAAAGATATACAGACAGCATGGTGATAACATAAGCCTATTACTATTTTTTTTTAATGAGGAAAGCACGCAAACGAAGAAGCTGTACTTTATAAAAATTAATATATGTTTTATGATTGACCACTTCTTCGGTTATCTGACCTTCATGCCAAACAACTAACTCTACAGAAAAGAGTCCTTCTTGAGAAGCCAACAGTCGCTCATCTGCTCAACAAATTTCCCTCCTTTTACTGAACCCGAAGATTCGTTCTGTGTTAACAAGAGCCCGCCACAGGTCCACATACTGATCCAAATGAATACAATTAATACTCTGTTATCCCAGTACTTTAAGGTTCATTATCACATTATCCTCCCATCTACTCCTAGACCTTCCGTGTGGTCTCCGAACCTCAGGTTTCCAGATCAACATTTCGTAGGGCCTATGCACTGATCTTTCTGCTATATGTCCCGCCCATTTCATCCGCTTACAATTGATCCTCTAATGAGCCGGGATAGCTCAGTCGGTATAGCGACTGGCTACGGGTTGGAGTTTGAGTCCCGGTAGGGTCAAGAAATTTCTTATTTCCACGTCGTCCAGATCGGCTCTGGGGTCCACCCAGCCTCCTCTCCAATGGGTCCCGGGGGCTAAAGCGGTCGGAGCTTGAATCTGACCAATCACGTCCAGCTAGTGCCGAGGCCAAGAAAATATGGATCTATATATCCACTCCCCCATATGCCTTCATGGCGTAGTGCTTAATTAGTTAAGTACAGGGACAAATTTACCTTTCACAACTGATCAACGTAATGTTTGACGAAGGGTACACATGGCAGTGCGCTCTATACCAGGGACGAGCAAACCACGCCCCTCTGAGCTACCGTAAAAATTTGCCTATAATACTAGTATTATTTTTCATTCATATCAACTATTGACAACATTTCTAAAGAAATACAGTAGCGTATTTTTCTACAAGAAGGTAAGAGGTTTATTGCACGTGATTTTTGCATAGCAAATAATTATTGTATAAGTAAGATCTGAGGTTTCGACGGCGGTGACTATGAAGAATGGCGTCTTCTGGGATGTGGCGCCGTGTAGATCTTGTGTGAACCGACATCTTCATTTATTCCTTAGTTTTCGCCCAACGAACTTCTGGAATGAGGCCCGGGAAAACTCCCGCAACCGATAACCTCTCCTTACCTCACAAACTTCGCCCTACCCTGCGCTAGATGCACCCACCAGCTAAACTGGCTGAGGTTTTTCGTGGCCTTCTCCAGTCAATTTCAGAGATTATAATGCAATTAGGCCGGACAGGTTCCTTCCGAATCCCTTTGAAATCATCAGCATTCATCAGTAATCCTGCCATTTCACTGTATGTTGCATAGAGAAGACCCTGACAGTTCACCGAAACATGTACGTCACAATATTCGCAGCTACCTCAGTGAGAATCTCAAATGTCGTGTAGAAACAATGGTACTCAGGGCCGGATTTAGGGTTGTGGAGGCCCCGCGACAGAAATTGAAAATGTGTCTCAGTTCAGATATTTGGGAACGACTATAAGAAATCAAAATTTTATCCAGGAGGAAATTAAGAGGAGACTGAACTCGGCCAATGCTTGCTACCATTCAGTTCAGAACCTTTTGTCTTCTCGTCTACTGTCTAGAAACATAAAATTTAGAATATACAAAACTATAATTTTGCCTGTCGTTCTGTATGGGTGTGAAATTTGGTCTCTGACATTAAGGGAGGCACATAGACTGAGGGTGTTTGAGAACAGGGTGCTGAGGAGAATGTTTGGACCGAAGAGAGATGAAGTGACAGGAGGTTGGAGAAAACTGCATAATGAGGAGTTTCATAACCTGTACTCTTCTCCAAGTATAATTAGGCTGATCAAGTCAAGGAGGACGAGATGGGAAGGGCATGTAGCATGGATGTGGCGAAGAGGAATTCATATAAGATATTGGTGGGAAAGTTAGAAAGAAAGAGACCGCTAGGAAGACCAAGACGTAGGTGTGCGAACAAAATTTAAACGGATCTTACAGAGATAGGATGGGATTGGATGGATTAGATTGATCTGACACAGGATAGGGAGCACTGTAACACGATAATAACCTTCGGGTCCCATAGAATGCTGGGAAGTTCTTGAGTAGCTGCACAACTGGCGGCTTCTCAAGAAGGGCTCATCTCCATGAAGTTAGTTATTTAGGGGGCCCTGGGACAAAAACGTGGACTCCCCTATCAGTAACAACAAATTCAAGTTATGATAATGCCCTTTCATTTGTTCTTATTTTTCGTAACAACTAAAATTCAAACTGACCTTCTGGGTTTTAGAGAAGCGAATGTCTCGGTAAAATCTGTGAAGGCCCCGGGCGAGGGCCCCAGTCGCTCCCCGCTAATTGTAAAGTTCCCGCCGTCACTCCGAACGGGACTGGACGGATATGGTTTCAGCCAATACATCTGCTCTTCGCGCGACCGGTAAGGAAAACATTAACTGCATGTGTCGTCATCGGCTCGAAATCTTATGAAACAACGAATTTAAGTGTCAAGGGATTTTGGACAATCATGTATGTATGTATTCAGCGAGAGCCTCAATGAATAAGTAAAGGTTAACATGTAGAGGGGATTGGAGGAGGAGGATTGCTGAAGCCATTTCGTTTAGGTGGGAGTTAATTATCCCTCGAAGCTGATCGTATAAAACGTGGCTGCTCATCTTCTTACAGCATCCTTCATACCTCGCGTCCAAAGTACCACATCATCAGCCATGAAACTGGTAAGTAGCTGTCGCTCGTTACATATATCACCTAGGAGTTCCGAGAACTCCGCGTACAACATACTTTCGTACTGCATACATTTCGAGTCATATAGATCCATAATAATAATTATTATTATTATTATTATTATTATTGAGGGGCACGTAGGTACCGTAGTTTGTTGAGACACTATGCTACAAAGCGGAAGGTGGCGGGTTCGATTCCCGAAGAGGTCACTGGATTTCTCAACCGACCTAATCATTCCAGGCGCTGACAGAAATGACCACCAGGAATCTTCCTGGGGGAAAAGTGCGTCCGGCTCACAAGGCTGACAATTCACCGCCATCTGTGAGCCGATTTTCTAAATAATGTGGGAGCCTCGACGTCTCACAATCCCATGGACCTCCATGGACTTTTCCAGGGATAGCTTTACCCATTGCCTTTATTATAACATTATCATCGTCATTATCATGTACTATTATTGTAAGGAACTTAGACCATTACTTATGTACATAGTCTTTCTACATTAAATTTACCAAACATAACCTCAAAGTTTCGCACCGTCATCATGTTTGTAATCGTTGACTTAGAAACAAAATGTGACATGAAACGTGTAGATATGTTTATTGCCTCAAACTGTATCAAATTTTACACGCCTAATTCTGATGATTCAGAAGATATCGCCATCAAATCGATAGCTTAAGAAAATCTTCACTAGGCCGACATATTCTGTGAGAAGGCTACATGAATAAAAGTTGCATAGTCTTGGAATATCTGGAACCAAATATCACTTAACTATCCCAAATTATGCGTTGATTCCACCTCTTCAGTTTGTGTCCGCCATGTTCTTATTATTGACTGTAAGGAAAGTAAACCATACGAAGTTGGAAAAATATCTAAGAGCATAATATCTAACATCATATTTTGTGAAAAACGGCGAATTGGTTCAAAAATTGAGAAACCTACAGACAAAAAGACAAACACTGTGTTCTCAATCACATTTTCTTAGGAAAGTAACGTGGGTTATACACAGTATAGGGTCTAACATAGCAGTGTGTTAGCAAGATGGCGGTCCTCTGTGATGTGACGCCATGTAGTTTCGTGAAACTTACGAAAGTCTGGGAGGAACCCGCGGACCACATCTACCAAATTACATGACGTTAAATCACAGAATACCGTAATTTTCATATCATCGGCATGAAAACCTGGGATCTCAATGAGATTAGCAGTCTGACAGCTGTTAACTAGATATTATTTAATTAAGATACACAGGTACGGTATGAACTGTGACATTTTGAGAGAGTCATAACCTATGGACTGCTTTTACATTTTTTAGCAGGCTACATCATTATTCGCCATTATCAAGTGGCATTTATACGCAGTTGGACTCCTGGGGGCATTGACCATGGCATCCCCACGATTCAAACAGCACATGGCCTTATCCTGTCAGATAATCACGTGATGGTACAGATGTTTCTATGCGCCTCTTATTCATTGACCCCGTTTACTTATGCAGATAACATGCCAAAATGGCCGAGCCATAGCTCAAACGGTTAGTCGCTGGCTTCCCACTGCGGCGGCTCAGGTTCGATCCCGGGTCTGGTCAAGTGGGATTTGTGGTGGACAAAGTGGCGCTGGGGCAGGTTTTCTCCGAGTACTTCGGTTTCCCCAATTCCACCAATTGCTCCACAATCACCCTCACCTATCATCTGGGGCTGATACAATAGGCCAAAAGTGGCCGCAGTACAAGGGACTTAGCCCCACCCCACTAACAATTAAAAAAAAACATCCCAAAATGGATAACTGCGTGAAATTAACGTAAGTAAACATGGAAATTTCGAAGATAATTTTTGGCTACAAAACAAGGCCTTGTACATTCAAAATCTAAAGCAGTGTCCTCCAACTTCAAACCACTGAAGGGCCACACTGTATCATAAGTACATACGCGCGGCCGTTACACAGATAAAAAATACCTGCTTTGTAATATCAGATTCATGGAACAAAGGCACACGAATAAGAATAGGGCATGTTAATATAAAAGTAATAAATAATAAAATTGTTCATGTGGTTAAATAATGAAACGTTACGCCATGAAGGCGTGTAGGGTAGTGGAGGTACTGCCTCAGCATTCTTGACCTAGACATTAGATGGAGATTAATGACAAGCTTCACTCCCCGGCCGCTTTAACACCGAGGAAAGAGTCCCCGGTACCCATGGGATAGGAGGCTGGGTTGGCAATTGTACTATCCCGGCTCCTTAAGAATGGGGAACATAACATTAAATATGTTTTGCTAAATTTCTTGTTGCCAGGTTGGAGCTTAAATATCAGCCCCTATACAATAGCTGTATTGTACTATCGTACTATCGTACTATCGTGGAATCACACTAATGTTATACTTCACTAAATTACTGTGAGCAAATGCTGCAAAATGACAGGATTATTATCCGCGAGATGCCGGTTCGTAGTCCCGATCTCAAGTTTCGAGACAGGTTTACGTAATTTCAATTTCAGTTCTATGCTACTGCAAGTAAAATTTCGCCCATAATCACTATTTTAATAATAACGAAACTGAGCTCAAAATACATCAAGGCTAAACTGCTTCCATTGCACTTCGTTTAAGTCCTCGGAACCGAGTTCTTGAGAAGCCAACAGTCGCTTAGCTACTCTCGAATTTCAAAACATTTCACGGAACACAAAGGTTCATTACCGTGTTAACAAGAGCCCTCCACTGATCCCCATTCTGAGCCAGATCAATCCAGTCTACATCACCTCACGCGATTTCTCTAAGATAAGTTTTAATATTGTAAGATTTGAGGGTTTCACGGCGGTGACTATGAAGAAAGCAGTCTTCTGGAATTTGGCACCGTGTATATGTGGTGTTAATCGACGTTTCGGAGGAACGTATCGCCTCCATCTTCAGGGTAGAAGGAAAATATAAGAAATCCGCAAGCGAAGAGACCGTGAGAACCGGTAAAACCGGTTCTCTTATATTTTCCTTCTACCCTGAAGATGGAGGCGATACGTTCCTCCGAAACGTCGGTTAACACCACATATACACGGTGCCAAATCCCATTAGACTGCTTTTTTCTTAGTTTTAATATTATACTTCCACCTACGTCTAAGAAGAGACGAGATACCTCAGCCAGTATAGAGACGGTCTACAGGCCTGGGTTCGATTTCCGGTGCCCAACCTCCTATTCAATTGGTAACAGGGGCTCGTTTCACAAGGGTAAAGCGGCCGTGCCATAATCTGACCACTCACCCCCATCTAGTGCCGAGGGCAGTAATGGTGGAGCTATACCTCCACTCCCCCATATTTCTTCATAAAACAATGCTTAACTGGGGCTCTCCGTAACATAGTTGGCTGAGGCACTTTGCTACAAGCCGGAGAAAGTAGCGGGTTCGATTCTCAGTAAGGTCACTGGACTCCTCAATTGACCTAATCCTTCCAGCCGCACTATGGCCCTGGGGTCGACTCAGCCTCTAACAGAAATGAGGACCAGAAATCTTCCTGGGTGTAAAGGGCGGCCGGCGCGTAAGGCTAACAACCTCACCGCCATCTGTGAGCCGATTGTCTAGAGACTGTGGGAGCCTCGACGTCTCACAACCCTATGGGCCTCCACGTTCGGTTACAGGGATAGCTTTACCTTTTTACAACGCTTAATTAATTAAACAGGGGGAAACTTTACCTTTTAGTGTACATGAGCAAAATTTAATTGCGTAATTTGTGTCACTCCTTCGAGTCTCATTAATGTATAACGCACTGCGGAATTGACAGGGAAAGCAACCATGCCCCTGGAGAAAAACGTGTACTTCTGTTTGTTTTTTCGCATAACTCACTTGTTTGTTTTCGTGCATTCAGCCACTTCCGATGACGTCATAGAAAGCTTCAACGAATGTTGTTATGTATATTTCCACTTAAGATTAAGTAAAGATAATTTATCTCTTAGAGGCTCAGGAAAGAGCGAGAAAAGGTATAACTACGTACAAAGCTCTGCGCTGTGTGGTTATGTAATTACGTGACTCCTGAAAGCATTATAACTTACAAGCGTCATATAACCCATTGACCTGCCTGCATAGTGTGTCTAATGATGCAATAAAGCGAACCTATGACAACAATGACTTTCGTCGTCAGTTATCCGTAAACGCAGCTACAGTAAGAACTGCAGTGAGCATTTCTTATAATTAGTCACCCAATCATAGCTACACGAGTTTCTCGCGTCATTCTACAACTCTGAAACTTCCGTTATACAGTGCAACTTAAACCAGTTTTATTTCAGTAACTTTATGCAGCAATTTGGTATTTTGCGTGGTTATGAAACACGTTTAGGATCGATACAAAATTTGGATAGATTTTTAAAGGTACTGCGAAGATTCTAATTATACTTGACCGTGAAAATAACGACGCATTTGAAGGTTATTCACAGCTTGTTGTACAGCTGTCATAGTTCAACAAGTATGGTGACCGTGGAATGGGTTTTCGATTTCTGGGAGAAAGAAATTGTTCTCCTGTGTCCATGCCGATCCTGGGGCTTAGGCTGAAAACCCACTGACGCGACAAGCCGCGCGCGGTTTGTCGTGTGTTGTCGCTCGCGGCCGTTATTTGTATTGCTTTTATGAGCCGCGCGCGGTTAAGTTTTGGAACGCGGCATACAGGCGGCAGAGCTGTCGCACGCCTAATAGGTACAGCTAACGGACGCGCGCGACAAAGAGTGGCTAGCCGCTCGCGACTAGTCGCGTCAGTGGGTTTTCAGCCTTACACGTCCTCCTACTGAATTTGCATCGGAGGCCTTTTCCCTGGTGGTAAGACGGCCGAGGCTTGAAGCTGACCACTCAGTTCAATCTAGTATCGAGGTCAAGAATGTGTTCAGTCTCCATGCGTCTTCAATGCATGGTGCTTAATTAACTTTACATAGCATTATGTACGTTACGTGACTTCAATATTAATTATGTTTCAAATACCTCATTACTCAGGACGACGTGTGAATCGTTCTTCCGAGCGGGATGGTGTAGCAGTGGAGCTCTAGATATGTATTCGGCAGGTGCTTGGTTCGAATATAGGCTGGGGCACTAGATATCGTGAGGTCTTTTAGGTTTTCCTCAGTCTCTCCAGGTACATTCTAGGATATTACCTTGATTAGGCAAAGTTATATTCCTTTCAAATCGTTTCCAATTCATTATTCATCAATCATCTTAGGACTCGACGCTATATAGTGTAGCTACTGACAACATCGTTAAATAAGCCCCCCCGCCCAACAATAAATCTGTATTCTCTACTAACTAACTAACTAACTAACTAACTCCATGGAGCTGAGCTCTTCCTGGGAAGCTGCCAATTGTACAGCTACTCAAGCACTTCCCAACATTTTATAGAACCCGAAGGTTCATTACCGTGTTAACATCAACCATCCACTGATCCATATCCTGAGCCAGATCAATCCAATCCATACAATGCTATCTAAGATCCAATTTAATATTGCCCAACCACCTACGCCTTGGTCTTCTAAGTGGTCTCTTTCTTTCTGTCTTTCACATCAATATCCTATATATGCATTCTTCTTCTCCCCATTCGTGCTGCATGCCCTGCACATCTCATCCTCCTTGACTTGATCATTCTAAGTATACTTGGAGAAGAGTAAAAGTTATGAAGCTCCTCATTGTGCAGTTTTCTCCAACCTCCCGTCACTTCATCCCTCTTACGTCCAAATATTCTCCTCAGCACCCTGTTCTCAGACACTCTCAGTCTGTGCTCTCCCCTTAAAGTCACGGGTATTGTCTGCTGAGTTAAAAAATGTCTTCAACCATGTTTTATTCTTTGGCGTTTAGACCACGCTGTCGGAAGGGAATATTGTTTTCCCTATTAATGTTTGGCTTTGCGTAACAGCCATCTAAAGAGCACTGAATAACGAATACAAACGTTTCTTTCCCCTACACAGATCCTGGTATTCGCCGCCATTTTGGCCGTCGCTGTAGCCGTTCCTCAGTCATCTTCAAAGGACGCCCAGATCACAGCTTACAGCAATGATGTAGGATTGGACGGATACAATTTCCAGTAAGTTCATGGAGGTGGACTCCACTTTACTCAGAATAACCCCCCATTATGTCACTGAATACATGCAAAACATTAGACTTCTTCATTACTGACTAGCGACAGGTACTCACATTCGAACCATCCGACGTCGAATAAATATAGTTCAAGTTTCCTGAAACTCTTCTAAATAAACATTATTTTCCTGAAAATTGCGACACCTGTCGACACAGCGACTACTGCTGGTAGATCTACCTGTTGGCAGAATTAGTACTGCCTGCAACCAACGTATACAGAGCTCTATCGGCGCACTGTTACCATAATTTCAAACAGTATTATTACAATATTATTGTAGAGGGAGACTAGACATTTATGCTTGCTACCTCTCTAACTTCTTGTTCACCAGTTTCATAATATCGTAGTTCAATTCGAGCCCCGTCCTCGTGAATTTCAGCCGTACTCAGTTAAGAAGGACACTTGATTTCAAAGTAAAGCTATCCCTGTAAAAGACCGTGGAGGCCCATTGGGTTGTGAGACGTCAATGCTCCAACATTTTCTGTAGACAACCGGGTCACAGATGGCGGTCAGGTTGTCAGCCTTACGCGCCGGCCGCCCTTTACCTCCCAGGAAGATTCCTGGTACTCATTTCTGTTAGAGGCTGAGTCGACCCCAGGGCCATGGTGCGGCTGGAAGGATTACGCGTGTTGAATTTCCATGTTATCAGCACAGACCTAAATGTACGCTACAATCTAACAACTTTTCAGAGATGAGGGATCTGTGTTGTGCCATGCGCACTGCTCGTCCGAGAAGAATGAAAAAAATTGGAACTTATTTAATATTGTCCCAGGCTGTTTTCATTTCTCTACACATGTCAAACAACAAATGATACCTTGTATACATATTAGGCATTCATAATACAGGGGACAGTACTTCATATATCTTGTATGGTAAGCGACGGTAAGTAGACTGCCACGAAGTAAATACAAAGCCGTGGGTGGCCGCGGATTTTGTACAGAAATCTCTGGCGAGTAGAGCTTTACTCTGACTAGCGAACTGCGCCAACGTTTAACGATCCCTGGTCATTTATGTATGAAGGAGAGTCAGTAAATAGGTCACGAATGAAAGTAAAACAGCTGTAATGGATGTAATAGGGTTTCTATGTTTATCACTAGGTAGCAGCAGAGTCCAGCTTCATGGCAGTCTAGGTAGCAGACGTGCATATTCAGAAGCTGGTTTCAGTAGTAAAAAAGGCGACCCTGCTTGAGGAGTGTACTACCGGAGAGCAGAGTTCTGCTGTGCGTTTTTTCTGGGCAAAAGGACTCAATGTAAAGGATATTCATAAAGAAATATTTCCTATTTACGGTAGGAAGTGTTTGTCGTGTAAAGCGGTTCACAACTGGGTGGCAAACTTTTCGCTGATGACGAAGAGGTCGAAAAGGAGGTACGGTAGTGGCTGAGACAACAGTCAAACTTCTGTACGGCGGATATTTTCATACGGCCTGTCACGTGTTACAAACTTCATACGAACTTGAACGTACGAAACACTCACTGTACGTAAGTTGTTTTTTTTTCTACTGGTATTTTTAGTCCATGAAACTCTCGTCAGTTCCTAAACACTGAAACAGCCTTACGAATTAATACGGCAACACGTTTATTATTAGGCATATTGTAGCAATTAGTAAGTGATGAAATTTTAATCCATTTAAATGATTCGTACTTGCTAATTTAGTCAGGTCAGAGGAAACTGACATACATTTTGTCATTTATGGGTTCGTATCCCGTTAAGATCATGTGACGCCATGTTTTTAAACCTAATTAGGTGTACAACATAATTATCAGTCATAAATATTTTGCCATCGCATTTACTCTCCTCTTCCGTTTGGGAGCGAAGAAATTAGCCCACAAGATTGCTGTAGTGGTACCCGTAACGACCTACACTTGTGTTCGGAAAATGTTCAGTTCGAATCTCGGTCGGGTGACCGTTTATCCCAAATATGTTCGTCGATGATTTCCTTAGTCCCTTCCAGGGAAATTCTGGGCTAGTGCTACGATTAGACCAAGACCGCTTCCTTCCAAATTATTTCCAATTTATCATTCCTCTATTATTCTACTATTCGACACTATCAACTCCGTGGCTTTTTAATCAAGTCACCCTCTATGCGTCGACAAGCGACGATAGCTCGGTCGGTATTCGACACTCTATAGTGTCAAATATTGGTAGAGTCGTTAAATAAATTGCAAATACAAGGGAAAGTGAAGCATCATCTTGTTTTATTTACGTCATCACTCATCACCAAGACCAACAGATGTTGCGGTTACTCGGAAAGCGATGTAGCGTGTAGAGCCGCTGCTATGCAACGATTGCGATAAACAAATATACCAGAGCAGTTTCCAGAAAATGGCTCGGTAAACGCGTTCCCCCAGCAACGGATAAGCATGCAGCAATGGAGGTACTGCTGGAAAATGTGTTTTATACTCAGTCCGTGCAAAGGGATTATAAGGACAACTAAAGCAAGAATAGTTCAGATGGAAGGGATCCGCGATTCAGAGAGGACTTGAGCCCGAAGGCGGAGGAATAGCCTTTGCTAGAAACCGTTACCAGGAAACGCCTAGTAACAGACTGAGAACACTAGATCGCGTGCTCTAGTGAACTGTAAAGTATGGAAATAGCGATAGTGTTATAGTTATTTGTGGTTACGATCTGCAAGTGATCAATAAATCCATGCAACAATCCGAACACCGTTTATAGTCACTCCCGTCACGTGACAGTATTTTAATACTTTTAATACTAATAGCTTTAACCTTGATTGAAAGTCCCTGTGTCTCGGGAAAACGTAATGGAGCCCACGTCCCTCTCAGGTAACTATATTCATTTGAATAACCAGCATGTCACCTTTTACTTAGGTTCGACAACAAAACCTGTACGTCACAATAAACAAACCAATCGTCGTGTGACTTTAAATGAAAACAGCACGAACATCGCCACAAAAGTGCTGCCAGCCATTAGCTCGCCATGTTTTTTTGCCGTGAGAACAAGTAAAGGTTATCTTGTGTCCTACATTACGTCATGACTTTGCGTAACGCTGGCGCAGCACCCATTCAACACGTTTTGGTTACATATGGCGAGATATGACAAATGTAGCGCTGTATATGCAAGATAGACACAAAGTGACAATCATATTTCCATAAGAAAGTGCTTGTTTTCTCCTCTGCCGTACTGTGCCATTATAGAGACTGGATGAGAAAATTCTACCGAAAACGCTGAAATGTTTGCAGCTTGCCCTATGGTGACATTAAAAGAATTAAAGAAGCACACGTTAACATCTACCTGTGATTTACAATACAAATTAAATGTAATTTAAGTGTCACAATTTAATAATAAATTACAGAGAACATCTCCGATCATTATGCTGCACTTCTATGGTCGCAAAATCGTGTTCATAAATAATTTAATAGTAATTCAACGAAGTTCTCCGAGTTAATCTTGCAAGGTTACTTCGCCAGATTTATGAATATGCGCATTCATGCTCGAAGCGATTCCTTTAGAATAAAACCGGATAGTTCGAATCAAATGTTAGAGAGACAAGATTAGCATATGAGGTCTATCTTCTGGAATATAACACCGTGTAGATCGTCAAAAGTAAACCGACAATTCTGAGGAACATGTCGACTCCATCTTCAGGGTTGAAAAGCAAGCCAAGCAATAAACCAACATGAAACAGAAAGTAAGCAAAAGAAGACAGAACTCTTCACAAATCATTTCCGTAAGAACCTCAAATCCTACAAGATCAGTACAGACTTTTATTTATGGGAAGTTCAATACCCTTTCTGAATTAAAGGCAGAAGTATTCTAAGTTTTAAACATTAGTCTTCAGTACATTCCAGAATAGCCCAGTTATTTAGAAATTTCTCTGGCTGCCATTTGTGGGTGTCACCAGGAACATGACGGACAAGCATCTGCTCCCCCCCCCCTCAGGTTTTTGGTTACATTAAAAAATTGAAGGAAATGTAGCAAACATTAGAATAAGAAATTGAACTATTTTAAAAATCATTCATCTAAACTGAATACTCTAGGGCGATGGAGTATCAGTAGATTCTAAAGGGTTCTAAGGATGGTGCATGACACACAGAATTACTGGGTTTTTGGACTTTTTCATCATCCGGATTCTAGGTAATAGAGGAGTGACTGAGATTAGCTTTTCTAAGGGGCCCAACTGAGTAGGTGTCTTCCTTTCTCACCTGAAGATGGAAACAGATCCAGTTTCTTAAACGTCTTAAAATCTGGATGGAAAAAGACCAAAAACCCAATACTTCTGTCTTGGAGTGTCAGTCTTTTCACTCTGATATTTTTTAAACTCTGATTTACCCATGATTTGAAGTTCTCACAGCGGTAGGTATGAAAAGTTCTATCTTCTGGAATATAAAGTCATTAACTTCAACAGAATACATAGCACTATATCCCAGAAGATCGAATTCTTCATCAATATATCCACCAGACCACATCTGTTGTCATGACTGCAGATTCTACTGCTTTTCTTCCTATTGTCGCAATTCTGATGCCAAAAATTGTCTGAGTTATGTTCTTTGAAGAACCACAGAAATTAAAATATTCAAAGAACATACAACATTTATAACATTGGTGTGAAAATGACAGGACTTGAGAACAAGTACACTGAGGGTTGGGCCTGTAGAGACACTCGACAGACATCAGTATAGGTTGGCTCTGAAAGGGTTAATGAATCAAATAATTTGAGGTGAAGACATTCCATACACCACAAACTTCCTTTCCTTCAGACAGTCTTCCATATTTTTGAAAAGGAATTACAAATAGGTGTATGTTAACTGAATGTGTCTCTATTCCAGATTCCAGACAAGTGACGGCATTTCCCGCAATGAAGAAGGTATCCTCAAGAACCCAGGAAGTGAAAATGAAGCCTTGGAGGTCAAAGGCAGTTACTCTTACAAAGGGCCTGATGGCAAGGACATCACCGTGAATTTCGTCGCCAATGAAAACGGCTACCAACCAATTGTTTCTGCTCGCCGGAAGTAAACACATTCCTTTCGCACTCCACGAAGATGATAAGCCTGTCACCAAGTCGGAAACGTTAACACCCTCAACATCGTTATAATTCTATACGTTTGAAATTGTGCCATAATTATACAATGATCTATCCCTGTTTCTGGGTTAAGGTTAGCACTGCAAGGGCCTCTACTTTCAGAGTGCAACAGATGGGAATTGGTCTATCAAGTACTTTAAGAAATGAGCCATGAATGATAATGGAACAATACCAGTGTGATCATCAAACAATTTCACACATATCGCTAAGCCGCATGAGTGAGCATGTCTGTCTGAGCAGCCAAACTGACTGTGGAAAGCTATGCAATGATCGCAATGTACAAGACATGACCGTATTGCTTCCAGATGAAGAAGGCATTAAGTAATTGTAAAAAATGTAAAAATTAAATCACTATATTACTATAAAATATGTGTCCTACTTATGCAATACCTCTATCTCAAAACTTTTAAGCAGTTACTTTTACTAATGTATCAAAAATTACTATATTGCCAAGGGCTGGGATAGCTCAGTCGGCATAGTGACATGACAATGCAACAGAAAACATTAATAACAGTACAGACTCCCTACAGAATACCAAAAGATAAATTTGTCCCTGTGCTTAACTAGGAACCATGTCATAATGATACCGGGAGAGTGGCATTAGATGAGTGAGCAACTACATGCCCCTGCTGCTTTACCTGCACAAATTAAGCCACCTGTATCCACTGAACAGGAGGCTGGGTGGCCCCAGAGCTGGTCTGGATGTGGTAAAGGAGAGAAAATTTCTTGTGCCTGCTTGGGAACTGAACCCGCAGTAATCCAGATCATAGCCACTCACTATGCTGACTGAGCTATCCCAGCTCATTCATCAGAATATACGTGGTTGTGTTTTGAAGACATCAGAAATATTTGCATCAAGATAATATTTATAATGACTCCAACAAAAACTGTACATGCTGAAGTGCACACAGACACAACACAAAAATGCAAGCACTGAGATTATGTGCTGGTCACAGGAACCTTTTATCCCCCCCCCACTTCAAAATCCTAACTTTTTTTTTAATTGCTAGCGGGGTGGGACTAAGTCCCTTGTACTGCAGCCACTTCTGGCCTATTGTACCAGCCCCAGATGATAGGCGAGGGTGATTGTGGAGCAATTGGTGGAATGAAGATTGGCAGGGGATAACAGAAGTACTCGGAGAAAACCTGCCCCAGCGCCACTTTGTCCACCACAAATCTCACTTGACCAGACCAGGCCACCGCGGTAAAATCTTAACTTAGTCCACGTACATTTTGCACCGAAAGTTCACGGAGTCAGCTAATATGTTGACGTATACTAATAGTCAGGATGCTAGTAACATGCTTGACTTTATAATTGATCTTCATGAACTACCATTTTGAACTCAAACTTTATTTCTTTAAATATCATTCTTTACATGTAATCATACACTAAATCATTCATTCTGTGAACATTTCCCCACAGCGGAATGGTTGGATGAAGCAAAATAATGCACTGTCATCTCAAATTGTAAAAATAGTAAGGCACCTGCTTACCTACAGCAAAAGTGAAGATGCTGCATTGGCTGTACCATTCCAAACTATGACAGGAGACTGGAATTTGGTACATTTAGGAGTGGTACGATTTACGTTAAGAAAACTCTTTCAAACCACTCATTTCCGCTGTTACAGCCACAATATTATCTAACCCCAAAGTTCACAGTCAAATACACAAAACAGCTTGTTTGCTGAGCTGTGCTCAAGTATATTTTATTAAGTCCCCCATAACTGCTTACATGTGACTGATTTAAGTACACCACTGGAGAATAAGTAGTGGAGGAAGGGTTCACACTCAACCCCTGCACAAATGAGGGTTGTTCAATTGAAAACCATTCCAGATTCTTCTGGGCGAAGGAGTGAAGCCACTGAATCTAGTTTCCACAGGCTGGCAGGTAGGCACGCACTCGTTCCACTGATGCCTCAGCTGCTGGATCCCCCTCTACAACGAACTGCTTGGGCAGCTGCTGGAACCACCGCATGACTCCAACCTTCACGTCTTCGTCCAACCAGAATCTACAGCCCTTTTTTGCTTTCTTTAGGGGGCCAATCACGCAAATGCTTTTCATTTGAACAACCCTCACACCGAAATAAATGTACAACAGATACCAATAATTTCAAAATTTCCCCATAGTAAAAAAAAAAATTAAAAAAAATCACAAATCACATTTTTAAAATCTTATTCTGGTTTCTAACAGGCAATGTTGTAAAGATACAGCTAAGCACTTTAAATCAATAAACTGCTAGACACTTGAATTTTCAAACAGAAATAAATATTCAGTCAAAATTAGTTTTTGTCTTTTTGTCATTACTGGATTGTGCTACCTTGGAACTAGCTGAGATGAAAAGTTGATGATGAATTGTAATGAAAACACCACACACACATATTAAGAATGTCCTGAATGGGCTTCAAACCTTGCAATCTCTGGAAGCATCTATATGCTTCCGGAGTCAGAGCTGCTACTCTGAACTGATGTCCCACTACAATGACACAACTTCTTCTGACTCTTTGTGCTTTGAAGGATAAAGTTTTGTGCTGTCATATCCCTAAGGTCCCAAATCTGTTCATCTGTTGCAAGATACAACATAAATGCAACTTAAATCCATTTTATTGCAGACTTCAAATTAACCATTGCACCATGTACTTGATTTGTCTTTACAAGAATCCAAATGAAGGATACTCCGCAACAGCTGCCAAACAATGCTGCTTTTATACGAGAGCCTGGAATTCACTATCCTTTATGTCTTTTTGGAACAAGGCACCACCTCATGTCGTCCATTGGAATGGAACGAGGCAATGCTGACTCACTATCTTTAGTCATCCCACAGAGCTACATGAGGCTTTGCTACCTCATCAATCTGTAAGATTTGAATGAGGCAGTAACAAGTCGCTGCCCCTCATTCAACTGAGTGAAGCAGCACTAAATTACAGCCTCAAATCAAATGAGGCAGTATCAAGTCATGGCCCAAGGCTGAGTTACTACCTCTTGCGGGCCCAGTAAAAATGAATGAGATTATGCAATAGGCCTCCACCACCGACAATATGACTGGGGAAGCCAAGCAGCTGTCATTGGGACTTCATGGAGACCAACTTGCGACTTCGGGCCCGAGCCTCCTGTCGACTGTTTGTATACTCAAACCACAAAACATTGGGTATCAATGTCGTGTCTCGCAGAAGCAAAAATTCTGATATTCGCCTGCAATACATAACACACACATTAAAATATTAGTAACACATTCAAGTGCCATTTAGTCCCTAACAGCTGGCCATTTTACCTGAAATGTCTCGAAATTAAGGAGGAAAGGACTGCAAGACATTTTTAGACCTTATATACCAGCAAGGTGATACAACTATATACATGAAGAATTCAAGACAACAACAGACAGCTTAGAGCATAATGTTCATACACGAATGTCATGGAAGAAATGCTGAAGGCCAGGGGGCATTAATACTGAAGTATTCATCCAGATTAAAGACACTGAACCAGTGTTAACTTATTTAATAACACTTTCTCAACTACACAGATTACACAGCAATGCACGGGAGGATGAAATGGGAATTATGAATTGGTACTTTGAAGGAAGCAGCTGCTGCATATTTTGAGGGAGCTTGGGGGAACTATTAACAAAACTGGTCAGGACTGACAAAGGTGTTTCTGACAGAGCTTGTTTTTAACAATTTCCCTTCATATTTTCAACAGGCTTCATGCTAGTTCAGAAAATAAAAGGTACACCTCTTTACATGTAAGTGAAACAGGAGCATCAGAAGTTAGGAAGTACCACGTTCCTCCATGGGGTTAACTGACCAGATGTTATTTAATGCTGATTCTCAACTACACAGGTTCAAAGCATCGATTTAAGGACATAAGATAACCGGGAAAATCTCAGACAGGAGTGTAAGTCTCCAGACAAACAAAGTGAGGAATTTTGCAAGTATGAAGCAGAATGCTAAACCTATACTCACCACGAGACAATAAGTGGAAACACAGGTGTAAATATCAGGTAGGTGAGAGCAAACCAGAGTGAGCCAAAGAGAAAGCCAACCAGTGCTCCACTGAGAACCTGTTTCCATGTATGGTACTGCAAATAGACTCTGCAACAGAACAAAAGCGATGCATCATTAACCCTTAAGGGACAATGGTTACTATGTCTTCTTCTTTACTGGCGCTAAAACCTTGCATGGGTCTTGGCCTTCCCCATAGGCTCTGGGGGTTCCATAGCAGTAAGTTTTTCTAGAACAGGATCATTAACCCCATGCTCAAGTCGAAACCCAGATGATGAGGGACTGCACGTCATCCTACTGCTACCCTTTGATATGTCTGATGTGGGTGGCCCTGCCAGGAGCTTAGCTCTCCCAGTCACTGGTGTGAGTAAATCACCCCTCCATTACAAGGTTAGTATATGAGGTGGTATCAGAAAGTTCCCAGACTGTTCTTGTTGTAACTGCCTTGGTGAAAGAAGATGAGAGGGGAGGCCAAGGTCACACTTCCGAAAGGCTATTGCATCAGTCTGCCATGTGACACCATGATGTGAGCATGACCTGTTTTTACACGAGTGCTTTCTCGAATTCTTGTTTTGTTTTGTCTGCGATGGATAGCAAAATTGGGCAACGTGTCTGCATCAAGTTTTGTCTGAAGACTGGTAAATCTGCTACTGAAACCCTTGCAATGCTTCGTGAGGCTTTTGGAGAACTCGTCCACAAAGCCCATCGCCAAATAATCCATGAGCTTGCAGATATCGTTGGTATCAGTTATGGAGTGTACAAGGAGACCTTCACAGAAAATTTGAACATGCACGGCACTCCTCTTTCATGATGACATGGCAGCCCACATGTCCCTGAAAATCACAGAGTTTGTGACTAACAATAATATGGTTATTATTACCCATCCTCCCTACTTGCTGAACTTAGCCATCTGTGATTTCGATTTGTTCCCAAATTGAAAATGAAACCAAGGGGATGACATTTTGAAACAGTGTCTGACATCCAAATGGAATTGCTGGCAATACCCGACAGCATTAAGGAAAATGACTTCCACGGTGCTTTTGAAGTGTGGATCAAAATGATGGGATCACTATATACATTCCCAAGGAGACTATTTTGAAGGAGATGACAGTCAAAATTAAGTTAAGCCAGCATTTCTTTTTTGACCTAGTCCAGGAACTTTCCAATAGAACCTCGTATGTACCTCGTGCATTAATATCAAGAAACATATACCAAACATATGTAACAGGTAAATAGCAAACCTTAACTTCATATATATAAATATTTTAATTGAAAATTTCACATGTAGTACATAATTTTGAATAGTTAAAAATCTTATGCACAACATCAGTTGTGTAGTTATGGTACATGAAAATAAATAAAATTATATTACATAATGATATAGAAGAACATTTCACTCAAATATAATATTCCATACCCACACTAGGTTTGTGAGCAAGATGGTAATCACCCATTCACTATCACTGTCCTGGTAAGTGGTGGCCTTATCTAATTCACTGACCCAGAAAACAATAGTCATTACTGAAAACTGTAATGAGAGCAACCCAATTTTCCACTTTTAAATACAAGAGGATTTCAGCTGACCATAGTTCTGTTATGAAAGGTTGTAGTCCATTTTGAAAAGTTCTAATTCCACTTGGTATAATTTGCAGACATTAATTCACTTCCACTAGTGTTATTATAGCAAAAATCCCTATTTACTGAATCTCTGTTGTAGGTTTGTTATGTGCTGCAAACAGGATGCAAACCCTAAGATGAGATTTAAGATGCTGATGAATGGCAAGAGTCATGCATATCTGTAATTTATTTAATGGCACTGTTCAGTAACTCAAGACTATATAGCATCGAATGATTAGATGATGGTGAATATCAAATTTATAAGGATGAGGAAGAAAATATTGTCACATATCCAGGTTTTTTTATTATTATTATTATTATTATTATTATTATTATTATTAGAGGGGTGGGTTTCACCATGCACCACGACCAGTTTGATCTATTGTACGTCCCCCTTTGATATTCTACCAGTCTCTATACCCTACCGGTACTGGTGCGTGCCATCAGCCCCGACTCAGCCAGCGAGTTCGGCCTCTACTGGCACAGCGGTACCTGATGCTTCCCCCATCTACCAGAGGCGTTAAAAACTACTGTTGGGTGGGAAATGTCCTATAATTTGGCTCACAGGTCTCCTTGAGACATGAGGTTCTTTTACATGCCGTAAAGGTAAGACACGGGACCAACAACTTAAAGTCCCTCCCGGAGGACTTGTTCCCTGAATTTTTCTGCCCTTAAAAATTCCATGACCCCCGCTTGGTTTGAAAGCGCGTACCTTGAGTCATGAGGTGGGAACGTTAGCCCTAGACTACGGAGGCCGCTTACGTAACAGGACAAGTAATTAATGGGTTTCGGATTAGATGAATTGATTTATTGGACAATTTCACCAGGTGGAACTACAGATAATTATAATGCATTCAAATTACTTTAACTAAGACACAAATGAATGTCAATGACTGCTTGCTTGAACGATGTCTGCCTCTCGAAAGCACGCTAGTTCACTTCTGACTTCTCTTCTGTCCTCTTCCTCCGACTTCTCACTTCTTGCTTCTGAACTGGCCTCCATTTACACCTGCTGGGCATCTGGGGTAGCAGACACCTTAATGAACAGTTCTGATTTTCATTACCGTGGTAACGGTCTGCCCATGTATGCACTGTCGAATGAACGTGTTTACAAGTGTCACCCAGGCAACGATGCATTCACTGCACTTATTGTAGTAGAAATGTGACTACCAAGCCGTTGTCTATCAATGGATGCCCGGTCTGACTCCAATATTCCACCTTTTAGGTGGCATGTCACAATATCATGGCCTCACTGAAGGTACTATCCTGGAATTTGCCCGGAGAGACTTAGAAAAACCACTGAAGACATTAGTCAGAATAATCAATGTCCAGGTTGGGATCTGAAACAGGCATTTTCTGAACACAAGTCAGAAGCATTATCAATTCAGCCAACTTACTTGATATGAGTGGTAAGAATTTAATGTACCTGCTGATAGTCACCAATGCTGCCATAGAAACACACCCCACTGTGATCACGGTCTTCCATGCATTTTCTAGTAAACTGTTATTATTCATATGTTGTAACCTAAGAACAGGGGTGAAAAAAAAGTTTATCTATAAACAATATTTCACATACAACTTGTGATTTTCTTCATACAAAATGTCATATTCCTATCTCTAATAGTCCATTAGTTATTACAATCAAAAAAAAAAAAAAGTAAAGCTATCCCTGTAACAGGCCATGAAGGCACACAGGGTTGTGAGACGTCGAGGTTCCCACATTTTCTAGATGACCAGCTCACAGATGGCAGTGAGGCTATTAGCCTTAAACATCAGCCACCTACCCTTTGCCCCTAGGAACATTCCTAGCATAGCAATACCTCGCATAGTCCGACTTTGATCAGTCCAGATTCACTATGTTCACTAGTACAGTTTGAAAAGTTAAAAACAAACTAAATTTTAATTGAGCAAAATAAAAATAAATTCTAAAAAATTAGTACATAAAATTATTTTTAATACATAAATGATCTGTTTTTTCCTTTTATACAGCCAAGTCTCTTTTTGTGTGGTTTATTTTTATGTGGTTTTAAGTGATGTGATATGATACATATATCAATTTTTTCTGGAGTTCCCCATTGTATATGTATGTACCTATGCTCAGGTCGTTTGTTCTTGAGCTCTGACAGCTATCACTGGAGGAGGTGGGGAGAGCACTACTTTAACGGAATTTTAGAGGAGCTGCAACATCAGAAATGTTATCGAAAATATAGGCGAAGCATGGCATGAATTAACGGCAAGCAATATGAGGGCAGTATGGAAACATATCATACCACACTGTGCAAATGATTTCATTGGTTTTGAAACTCATTTTGCTGAAGTCACTAATAACATAGTGGAAATCAGACAGCAACTTGGTTTCAATGAGTTAGATTCTGTCAACGTAATTGAGTGCATCAAATCGAATACTAATGAACTAGATAATGAAACACTTATTAACATAGATGAACAACAGGCTTATGAAGAATGGGAGGACAACTTAGACAACAACTGTGTTGAAATGCCTGCACGAGAATTAACAGCTGAACAACTATCAATAATTATGGGAATGGCTGAAACCTTGTCAGAGCATGTTATGGAAGTTGATCCCAATATTGAACGTAGCCTTACAATTCGCCGAACGATAAACAATGCAATTCGTTGCTACAAAGAAATGTATGAAGAGAAAAGGCCAAAGAAGAGTGGGAGAGGTGCATTCATGATGCACTGTTTACTAACAACTGCGGTCAACACTGGGCCACTTCACCTTCAGTGAAAGTTGTCACTGGCCTTCAAAGGTTAATAAAAGCTAGGAAATTTCTCACCACAAATATTTTATTTTTACTCTTGCTCATGGCTTTGGAAGGTTATTCCTGGATTTACAGGAAATCTGTGCAGGCCTAGTCTACTTATGTTTATATGAGGGTCGCGCCATAGCTCAAGTGGTTAGTCGCTGGCTTCCCACTGTAGCGGCCTGGGTTCGATCCCTGGTCTGATCAAGTGGGATTTGTGGTGGACAAATTGGCGCTGGGGCAGGATTTCTCCGAGTACTTCGGTGTCCCCTGCCAATCTTCATTCCACCAAATTCTCCATCATCATAATCACCCGAGGCAGGCTACAATAGGCCAATCGAACCCAGTTGGACTCCACCCCCCCCCCTCTAAGCAAATTTTATGTTTATATACTTACCGTATGAACACAAAGTATACCATATATGTAGCAAAAAACCACATAAACTGGGAATGTGATGATGGCATCCCATATTCTGTATACAGGGCACTCCTCTGCATTGGTCTTGCTTCACAGAATGTGTACTTGAGCACTAGGTTCAGGACTTCATTTAATGTTGTGCCAAAGAAGAATGTTATCTACAAGAAAAATTATTTCTTTTATTTTCTAGTGGAGAAGCCTGTTAAAATTCAGTGGAGATTCAGTGCCTTCACATCTTTACCCTTCAGTCCCTTCCTCCCTTGCCTTGAAAAGTTTGAAAGTTTTATCTCCTCCTTGATATGAGTAAATTATAAATAGACTTATATTTTGAATAATTCTGCATCACTTGCACGTGCATTCAGTCAAGCAAGTACAAACATCAGTTATGCCTTCCATCACACACTTTTGCACAAAAACAGTGAGACAAGACCACAGAGAGTGGCATGACTGTAATGAAAATGGGGTTGATGAACTTATTCTATTTATGATTTATTTAATGACACAAAAGCACCAAATGGATTGATGATTAGCGAATAATGAATTCAACAGAACGTGGAAGTGGTCTTGGTCTAATTTGAAGCATATGTTCTCAGAGACTGGACTAAGAAAAACTATTAAAATATTCAGTGAGGATAATTGATATGCTGGCTGAGGACTGAAAAAGACACCTTCAAAATACAAGACAGATATGCTACCAATTCTTTTGCATTCTCTAGAATAGTGGACAATGGACAAAGTCCAAAAACCTAGTAATCCTGAGTGTTATACAGCACCATCAGACCCCTTAGAAATTAAGCAAACTTTTAATGACATGGGAAAAGCAAATGTCAGTGGATGCTGTGTGCATTGCCTGTAATGAAGAGAGGAACGATACTGATATCTTCTCAGGTTTTACTTAGTCCCTAGTGAGGACACTAAATGGCCAGCTCTGGCACTATGACTTTTACAATCTAACATTTTCACAGAATGTTAGCAAAAGGATTTGCTAATCAGAGACCAGAGATACAAAGCAACAGTATCTCAACAGTAAACAACTGCCACAAGCTGGTTAAATAACACAGAATGACTGTAATCCTGCCATCTGTTGATGACAAACTAAAATAAAATACCATGGATCTCTGAAAACTCTTGTGACACACATTACGACCATAGTGGACTATTATTATGTTACAAATCTCATCTGGCATTCCCACACAATGGGTCAGTAGCTCTGTTTCAGCCACAAGTTACTTATCACTGTACGGGGGCATGAAATGAATATAAATGGCGAACAGGTTACAATATGAAAGAAGGCAATGGCCCACCTGAAGGCCTATCACAACACTTCTCTGAGGAGACTGAGAAAACCAATAAACCTCAATAAGAATGCAGCCAGGGTAGCACAGTCACTACAGTGATGGGCTAGACTCTTTGCTCTTTTCCACAGCATCCAGACTGGATCCAGGGCCTACTAAACATCTATCCAATGGGTAACAGGGGTTCTTTCCCCAGGGGTAAAGCGACCAGGGCGTGAGGCTGGCCACTAACCTCCAACTAGTGTTGAGGTCAAGAACAGTGGAGCTATACCACCACTCCCCTATATGCCTTTATGGCACAGTGCTTAATTAATTAAGAGCATGAACAACCTTATCTTACCTCAATAAGAATGCCACTAACCAAACTGAAATTCGAACTACACGATGTGTCCAGGATCTGTTAGGACTCATTTTTTAAATGTTGCCCTGCAATGCCATCTGTTGGCGAGTTGTGGCGTTAAGTTTCTTGAAATTTCATCTGTGGCTGTCTATAATTTCAAATCGCAAGCATCGCTGCATCATGTATTCTGACCTTGAATGTAACAGTACTGTTCTGACGCTTGTCGGAAAATGGAGGATGAACAGAGAGCCAACATCAAATTTTGTTTGAAGTTAGGCAAAATAGCTGGAGAAGCGTACAAAATGATGAAAAATGTGTACGGTAGTGACTGTTTGAGTCGCTCGAACATTTTTTGATGGTATGCTATATTTCATTATGGCAGGGAGGACACTGAAGACTCTCCACGTGCATCAAAGCCGAGAACAAGTCGCACTGAATAAAATGTGAAAAAAGTGACTGAAATCCTTACATCAGACACATGTGTTTCTGCAAGACTCATCGAGGAGCTTTTGGGAATACCAAAAAGTACTGTGCATCAAATTTTGACCGAGGATTTGGGCAAACGGAAGGTCTGTGCATGGTTTTGTACTCTCACAAAGCAGCAGAGTGCTGCGTGGTTGAGCCCAAAGAAGCCAAAACCAAAGAAAGATGCTGCTAACCGTTTTCTTCGATTCCAAAGGAATTTCTGCCAGAAGGTCAAACAGTGAATTCTCATTATTATTATCTCGGAGTCCTCAATTGTTTGTGGGCGAGAATTCTTCGAATTCGACCTGAATATCGAGAGCAAGATTCCTGGTTTCTCCTCCATGATAATGCCCAAGCCCACAAATCGAAGATCATGCACGATTTTTTGGCCAGAAAAGGGATCACAGTCCTTGATCATCCTCCGCATTTGCCAGATTTGGCTCCAGCAGATTTCTGGTTGTTCCCAAAAGTTAAGTTGGTGATAAAAGGAGACCATCACGACACAATCAGAATATCAAAAGGGAATGTACTGCAGTTTTAAACACGATTCCACAAAAGGAGTACAGTGACTGTTTTCGAAAACTTTTCAATCGATTCCTGCTATGTATTGATTCAGAAGGAGACTATTTTCAATAAAAAGTGTGAAATTTTTAAAATAATTCATGTCTTGTATTTTTAATGAACACAGTCCTAACTGAACCTGGACACACTGTGTAGGGACTTCCACAACACAAGTCTACACTATTACTGATCTACAAGCAAGCTCAATCAGAAATGGTATATGCAACGAACATACGTGATTGAAGGACGTTAAAAATGGAAGGAAGTGTTTTAAAGCTTACAAGAATCCCCTTAAGAGCAAGCAGTAAATCAGATTATATTCCCAAAATTTACACAAGGAATAAGTTCTTACCGTGTGCAAATCCCTACGGAAGAGAATGAGAGCTACAAAACCTGAGAGGATTCCAAATGGTAGTAAGCTGGAAACAGCTAGCAGTTTGCCTAACCAATCCCCTGAAACAAACACCAGTCAAGCCTAAATAAAATGGTCTCTTTTATGTTATATCTGAGGTTCTGACAATAATGACTATGACCAATACCATCTTCAGGGATGTGATGCTAGAAGTTTACTGACCTTCCAGAGAAATGTACTGCTTCCAGCTTCAGGATCAATAAGCTAAGGGGGCGAACACGCGACAAGTAACATTTGCTTGGTTTATACTTCAACCCTACCAGACCACATGATGACAGTCAAAAAACAGCATTTTTGTGGTCCTTTTTAAATTTATCTAACAATGCTTTATAATATACATCTATGGGCTAGATTACCAAGAGTCTCTGACATTCTGTCACACAGGTTCACCCATTTTCTTTGGTGTGCTGTTCAAATGATTCAAAAACCTTTACCCATATTCCAAAACTTTTAATGAAGTTAATGCTTACGTACAAAGCAAGAAAGTGACAAGCAGCAGTTTTATGTTATCACACACATTAAAATCACTTTATCACTTCCTTCTAGTCCTGGCTTGCTCAAGAGTGGAGAAGGCATTTACATAACAGTATAATTTCATAACCTTTCTGTAATGTCAGCAGCTTCAACACTCACTCTGCAAATATTCATCAAATGGCAATTTAGCATTACAACCACAAAGAAAGATATCAAATCTTTCTTTCCTCATCTGCGCTCATTATATTATTATATCAGTATTTGTTTGGGGGAAGACAATATTTATTTATTTATTTATTTCGTCACTGCAGATCATTGTTAAATGATATAGGACAAGTCAGTTATTGTACATTGGCTGATTACAATAAGAGAATGAAGTTACAATACTTACAATTGTTTACAGTAGATTATAATAGTTAAGAGTTCGTATAGTGTGAGGTGGAATCCATATTAGGTCCCCTCGGCACATCGGCTTCCATTTGTCCTATTGTACCTGTACTAGTGATAATGCTTACGAGAATTTGATGGAATTTGGTAGTCTGTGTTAAATTTACTGGACATAACCTCAGACTTTCACCCAAATGTCATGTTTGTAATGGTCGAGTTACTTCATACATGCATGGGTACCAGCAGACAGAGAGAAGCATGCCACACATGTTTTTTTGAAAACAGAAATAAAAATTATTTCAAAAAAGTTATTCCTCTAGTTTGATGGCTCTATAGTGATTCACAGATATATTCTTAAACAGTCTGAAAACAAGTCCATCAGCAAATTTTCTATAATTTCACTAGGAGTGCTGCATGTGGTTTAGGGTCCACTAAGTCAAAGTAATCTACTCGGATCAGCTTTCTGAGACATGGTGCCATGTATTTCAATCTACCAAACTATATGATATCACATCCTGGAATGACCATAATCTGAACATTCACTGTTCTGAAAACCTCAAATCTCATTAAGAAATCCATCCACCCACGCACATAACCACCTGCCTGCCTATCTATGGTTCTACAGTCCTCTGTTGGACCTTGGCAGCTTTTTCAGTTTCTTAATCCTATACACATTCAGTAGGACTCCTTTGATGGGGGATCAGCCCATCACACGGCACCTGCACACACAGGACGCCACAAACACAGAATAAATGCACACAGTCAACCATGCCTTGAGTGGGATTTGAACCCATGATCCCAGCATTCGAGCAAATGACGACAGTTCACGCCTTAAACTGTCTGGCCACTCTGATCGGTCATTAAGAAATCTAACTTAATACAATATTTCTACCCTAATGAGGAATGAGCATTATGGAATCAAAATGCACCTCTTAACACAGAATGTTGACTTCAGGTTCTTGGTTTTGTGGAAGAAAATAAAAATACAGCCAACTATCAACTTAACAGAATGATCCTGAAATCATACCACAAATGAGATATGCAATTAAAGCTCTTACATGGTAATCACTGAACTAGCCTTGTTTTCATCATAGAAAAGAAAAGTTAGGAACTGAAAAAAGTGATGCCTAATACAGATTGGTATACGAGTCTGCTTAACAAACTTGCCAGCATCAACAGTCTCTCTCACGTAGAGGTTAACTGTGCATCAAACTCAAGTAAATTACAACATATGTTACAAATTATTTATTCAGTTTAAGATCTTGGATCTTGAAAGATATCAAAAACTCTAGAAAGGTGGGAAGTAAACAGAAAATCGTTCATCAAACCTGAAGTGACATATACATTGCCACAGATATAACAACAAAATTGCTGCTGTATAGAGAAATATTTCCAGTCAACAGCAGGGAGGTATCAAAATAAATCTTAGCAAAATAGATTGTGAGGACATAGACTGTACTGAAATACTGAAGCCCAGTATAGTTACACTAGTTTTGCAAACTGGTAATGAACCTTGACATTCTACAACAGCACAGACATGTATACCAAACCCTTATCTACTACTCAACTCTTGTGGAGTTAGTCACTAACAGACCTCTGCAGACATGCCTCTTAATGTGTACACAACATATAAGTTTAATTCTTACTGTAGCTCAAGATCAATTATTTTGCAGCATGTACCCTACTAAGTTATAAATTATGCATTATATCTGGAGTATCATGCAATTGCTACACACCCACATGCTTTGAATCACCTCTGCACAAATATCAGGCCTACTATACGCCTTCATTATCATAGGTTAAGCTGAAGTTTGTTTTAAGAAACTATGCAAAACTGACCTATAACCAAATTCATACACATATCTTAAAATTACACATGCCCAGTTGCAATATACGTACAGACATCTAATATATCTGTATGTAGTATTATGAACGAAAACCCCATTTAAAATGAATATGCAGCAAATTAAGCAATTCAACTTGGCACCTCGACAAATTATTTATAGAATTATTCAGTTCTCTCATTAATCTGCATACATCTGTGTGAACACTTTTCGTACAACATACTTAAACAAATGTATAAGCTTAATCAACATAGACAGACTCCTTCCAAAAATTACCTTGGGGATATTCTACTAGTGTTAAGGATAGTGGAACCCACTCCAGTCTTTCATCAGTTGCTAATTTTGCAGCTGGTATATATGCCTCTTCTGCAGCTGCCATCTTCAACGTGTTCCCAATCTTCCAGTTATTTGCTATGACAACTGGTACTACGATATTAGTCAGGGGTATCAATCACATACCTCCGAGCATCATCATCGCTGTTTGTATTCACCGTGGTTGACACCGTCATCAGGTCATCAGATTGAATGAAATACTGGGGCATAAAAGCGGAACCAGCGAATAACGTAAACTTACATTGAAAACCCATGGTCAAACAAGTAGGAATGTCTACCCAAGCTTCATATTTATCTGATGGCTCGAACTGCATTATCTTGTGCTCATCGTCGGTAGAAGCCAAGGCGGAACACTATATATACAGTGTCCTGTTCTCAGCATATTTTGTAAAATTTTTATTATGCCACGCATTCACGATTTCTACACTTGTAGTCCACTTTGGTATTAAAATGAATGCTGCCAAAGTGATACTCTACTTAGGTATTAAAACGAATGTTGAGAAACTGACATTAAACGTCGTTAAAATTTAAAAATTCGTTACAAATTTCCGAACAATTCTTCTACAAATGGGGCTTCCAATACAATCCTAGTAACCCGAATGTTCCTGTCCTTCAGTCATGTCAAACTGCTTCTTTGTGCGTTAGTATAATATAAATTAGTCGTCAAATAACAGAAGTAAAAGCCAGATTTGCAACCCGTTTATTTACCCGAAACACGTATCTTCTTATACCTTGAAGACAGGCAGTGTTCTATTCTGAAGATGGGGCGAGTACGTTTCTCTGGAAGCTCTGGAACGTCAGGAAATTTTCTACTACTATTGCTGGGCATCAGAACCCCAAAATATAAAGCAGAAAATTGTATACAGATAGCCGTCGACGCCTGAACAGTGCTTTGGGATCTTTACTGCTTGTTCATTTAACACGTCTCCTATATGGTTGAACTGATTAACAGTAACAAAACGTTTCATCGAAGGCAAAGTTATCGCTCCCTATGCTTAGCTAATTAAACACTATGAAGCTTTCAGCTTCACGTTCCAACCTCCTTGCACCCGGCACCAACTGGACAGGAAGCTGGACAGACCCCACAGCCAGTCTAGATCAATCTAGATGGTCTGGATGCTATGGCGAAAATATATTTATCACCGAGGAATTTATAATACTAAATAAGTCGTGAAACTACTATGAAAATAGTTACGAGACTTTCCACGCTCTGTTGAACGATGTACATGTTTTCCTCAGTGGGAATCTAAGGTGTGGAGAAGAGCAGTACTCCTGTCATTTCTATTTAAGCTCGGGCCTATCGTTACGAAATAAACACGTTTCGCAATTACCGTAGGACTCGTGGAGCGGTAAACACTAGATCACTAGCATCACTAGATAGGGAAATAGATTGTGGTCGTCACCAGTCGTCAGTCTCGTCCGTATTACAGAACAGATAAAATTCGATACATTACTATCGATAATTTTCAAAATAATCGCCAGGTGATTTGATGGCCATGGTGGAAATCCGTAATAATCCCTTGAGTATGTGAAGAATTGTACGGGACCCGTCAAAAGCTGATAAATATTTTGAATAAACTTTTGAGTCACACTACCAAGTAGTGGGGCTCTTGGGCGATCGAACATGTTTGTATCCGACACCGATATATTCAGCAACTCTCTGGTGAAACTGAGTGTTATAAGTGCAGAAGGTGGTGTGTGGAATATTGATGCTGCGCCGGATATAACGGTGGAAAAATTGAAAATAATGGCTCTTTGCCATTTTTACAGTCCCTTAGAGTATGTCAAAGTGACGTCAAACCACAAACTTGTTTTGGTGTCGGAGAAAAGACCACTGGATAATAACAACTCCGTTTTGCAGGAAGGATTGAGAAACAATGGTGATTATTGTTCAGCTTTTGTAACAGTATCAACATACATCACTCACATCACCTGATTAAGGCATCTCACTAATGAAGTTTGCTTAAGCGGTAAAACATGTGACATGTATTTCAGAGGTACCGGGTGCAAATTCAGCTGGTACACTGACTGTCATTGATATTTTTTTTTGTGATTTTCCTCAGTCCCATCAGGAAATTGCCACGATTGCGCCTAAATTAGACCATGAAGGTTTCCTTCCAATTCATTATTCTGTAGTCACCCACTCATTTGAGGTTGCACAGCCCTAGCAGTGTAGTTAAATAAATTACAAATATAAAATTTACAAGCGTTATTCACGTTTAGTGGTATGCTTCTGTCGAGAACAATATGCAATAAAACTTACACTTTAAACACTGACAAACAATGACAAGCAATGGAATGAGCTACAGACATAATGAGATGTCAGGATATGTCCATCATAGCTGTGTCCCTGTGCACCGTCTGCTTTTCCCTTTGAGGCTCACAAGTAATTAAAAGCCATCCAGTGTCCCGAAACACACTGGAATTAAAATTTATAAGGCCTTAGTGCTACAGGCGCTTTTGTATGTGAATGAATGGTTGATAAACCAATAGACATAACCAGAATTACAGCTACTTAAATGAAATGTATGGGGTCAGCAGTTAAACACTCTTGGATGGACCACAAATGAAATAGATATAGTAAGGGAAGTAAAAATTAACTCATGTTAGACAAAAGTTTGAACTATAACACCAAGTTTTTTCAACACGTTGACAGAGCGCAAAGACGTAGGAACAGAATTCCAGAACTGTTGAAAAGTTACAAACAACTTGGATGAAGGAAGTTTGAAGGATGTCTGATGAAAATGTTGGACAGATGAGGCCAGAACAGGTCAGCAAGTGACCCCCAACTCCCTGACTGTTAGGTAATGATGATGAACTGAGCCCATGTTCTCTGATCAGATCTCATACATGACCACTTCTGAAACCAGTAAGGTCATCCTAACAGAAAACATTAAGAAATTTAGTTGAAGTACATATGCTGATTTTTAGGAATAACTTTCCATGTCCTTTTGAATATATAGTGACACAATTGCATTGTATATATATTTTTGTGAAAAGAAAACTGCTGTTGACAGCACATAGCACCATGGCATTTTATACTTTTAAATAGCTAACAGTTCTAGGATAAACTACACAAGCAGCAGCTGCTAAACAGTGTTTGTGGGCTCTTAACTACAGCTATTTAATAAAACATTTTTCTATTTTATCTGTGACATACATTTTATTTCTAGATGAACTACTGCTGGTGGAGTGTCGGCAGCCACCCTCTGAAGAGCATTTCACAGAAGATAATGTGAGAGGCCCCACTGCTAATGAAATCAGAGTTGCGACCAAGGATGTAGAGGAGAGAAAACCACTGAAGCTGCTTCCTCAGGAATTTACTGCGGATGTAAGTGGAATGGTGGACAAGAGTCACAGTGTGCGCAGGTGGACAGACAGAGACAGGTTATAGCTGTCCCTTGAATCATGCTTAGTAAGACTGTAAAACAAACTATTGTGCATACAGACATAGTAAGCAAGTCACATGTGATACAATTAAATTTACATAAGCAGGACGTTCCATGTAATTATTCCACATTGAATACTACCGGTTCATATACTTGGCAAGTTGCTGCTATTTATCTAAGGTTTATACAGGTCATGTAGCACAAATTGGGGAGATGAATGCGTATAGGATATTGGTGGGAAAGCCATAAGGAAAGAAACCACAGGGAAGACCAAGGCGTAGGTGAGTGGACAATATTAGAATGGATCTTAGAGAGGTAGGATGGGATGGTATGGATTGGATAGATCTGGCTCAGGATAGGGACCATGGAGTGCTCTTGTGAACACGGTAATGAACCTTCGTGTTCCATAAAATGCTGGCAAATTCTTGAGTAGCTGCAGAATTGGCGGCTCCTCCAGAAGGGCTCAACTCCATGAGTAAGTAAGTAAGTAAGTAAGTAAGTAAAGGTAAAAAGTGAAGCTATCACTGTAACAGGTCATAATGGCCCATAAGGTTGTGAAAACATTGAGGCTCCCACATTTTCTCTAGACAATCGGCTCACAGATGGTGGTAAGGTTGTCAGCCTTTGTGCCGGCCGCCCTTTTCTTATGACTTCAGTTTGACATGCAATTATGTTTTTGGTAACATAAGGTGATTCAGATTTCATTGGAAAATTGTTAAAATCAAATGTCATCAAAAATATCCTAACCTCAATAATTTTATATGTTTTTGAAGAGCTACATATATACTATAGATACTAACTTGATAGTATGGCAGTATGCGCTAAGAAGTGCAGCTATCTAGATTAATTTTCTTTTGACGAAGGCGGACACTGGTACCAACTCAAGCATGCCATCTTGTGCTCCTGCTCATAATTTCTTGCTAACAAACATAATGAACTCATGTAAGAACAAAAGAGTGAGCTTTAGCATTATGTAAGGACCATTACTTGAACATGATGTGACTTTTGCACAGATTTATATTATTTGTAGAGACTCCTTAAGAATTGCATGATACACGACAGTTTCAGAGTGAAATTCGGAAGATCCTGATCTCCCTAGTAGAAGCTTCTGCACGTATCATTGGACCGAGTCCGAATGCTGATGAAGTGTTTGAAGTTATTCAGGAAAGACTGGATGCAAAAGCTAAGACTCAGCCACATTCCAGGGCAGTCAGTCCGTTCATGGATATGGGTTTTTCTGAGCATGTTGCTTCCAGAGCTCTCCGTCTTAATAGGTATGCTTAACAAGTTTTGTAAATGAGTGGTCTTCTTCACTCTGTAGCCACTCTATCCCTTGGAAAATAAGGCCTGGACCCTATTCTTCTTCATGTCATCTGGACTGGCTCTGGGGTTCACCCAGCCTCCTATCCAATGGGTACCAGAGGCTCTTTCTCTGGGGGTAAAGTGGCTGGGGCGTGAAACTGACCACTAATCTCCAATTAGTGCTGAGGTCAAGAAAATATGGGTCTATACATCCACTCCCCCATACATCTTCATGGCATAATGCTTAATTAGTTAAGGACAGGGACAACTTTATGTTTACCCCACTTGATAGGAGGCCCCATGTAGTCCAGACACAGTGGAGAAGAGAACCAGAAATGTGAATTCAATCCCAAAATGGTTTTAGTGCCAGTTTTAATACTGTTTCCCTAGTTATGTTTTCACTGTTATTTGCAGAATGAATCCCAATAAGGCACTAGAGTGGCTCCTTGAAAATGGTGCGGAGAAGGAACCAGAAGAAGACGCTGTGGACCACAAAGATGAAGTGTCATCTGGAGCAGCTGACCTACAATGGCAGCAAGAACCTGCATGTAAGATGAGTAGGTTTCTTACATGTTTGGTTACTGGAGGAACAATATAATCATTAAACTGCAGAAGACATCATTGTTATTAAATTCCATCTAATTTCTTAGAATGAATCTTTTGGTTTTACCTTGTATAGAAGGCACTGTGCATCTACACAGTGCTATTGATGCAGTTGGCAGCATTGGTGATAAAGGGCTGTATAGGGCAGACATTCTGTGAGTGTCTTGTAACAGTCACTGCCACAGTTTGAAGAAGAAGAAGGCCAGAGTTTTGAATATGGATAAAGAATTGATGAACATTCAGTTATCTAAAGAAGGTGTTTTGAACAAATTTTGTGGAAACATTTGAATCTAGAGTATATACATTCTCCAAGGAATATGATAGATTTCTAGACGCTAGGGCAGTTGATGATAGGATGATGTTGGAATTTCTTTGTTAAGAATTTATGGTTTAATATCGTCTGGGAATAGGGGTTTTAATTCCCATGGCGTAACGGATTTGGCAGATTATTTTAATTCAGAGGTGACAGTTTTATCATCTGGGAATGGTGGATTCTGCATCTTCTGCTTCTACAGGGCTGACAGCCAAATTTAGCTCTCAGATAATGGTATTAATGTTAAATAATTTCAGTGCTTGGTGAGCTGAACCACACACATGAATGATTGCAGTAAAGATACACCTGGCCATTGAAGTTTAATGGTATAAGTCTAACCCTCCATGAGGACTGCCACCATATCATGGAGAGGAGGTTTGTGTGCCCCAGTGACCCAGAGAGCTATGCTGGCGGGGGCATAAGTTTCTGGTAGAAGAATATATGCCAGATAGGTATAAGAGTAGGGCCCAGAAGAAGTGTAGTCCCTGGTCTTCTAGGTTGAGGGTTGGGTGTGTGACTAACAACCCCACCCCAGAAAAATTTACTGTTACAAAACCTCTAGAGAACCAATCACGCAAAGGCACCGGACAGGAACCTCTGGAGAAGGATTAAGGAGGAGGCCGCAACCCACACAAGGCTGTAGTGCCAGGAAAGGAGGAAGAGGCGGGGGAGGCATAAGGCTAACCTAGTTCATTTATGCAACACAGTAGCATTAAAATGTCAAAGCATTTATCAAGAATGCTATGTTAATACAGGGTAGTGATTGATATACTGACAATTTGTGTCTGTATTTCATGTTTCTTTTGCATGAATTTCTGTTTCAGTGTATGTAAATCTATGGTATTATGTTCTAAAATTGCAGGTACCTCATCCCAGAGCGAAGTCAAGAAGTCACAGTCAGTAACCACATTGCTAGAATCATTCCGGGAATTTAAGCGACGAGACTTTCAGCCCAATGTGAAAGCATTGCAAAATCTAATGGATATGGGGTTCCCGGAGGAGGATGTTTGTGATGCACTCTGTGTCACAGGAAACAACCAGTCTGCTGCAGTTTGTATTGTCTCATATTCATTTTGGTAAAGCATATTCACTAACCCTCTCCGTGCTGAGTGTACTTGTACATACTTTCAGATGTTTAGATGTTACACATAGGTTATATTTGACACATTTGGTTACATCAGGTTAGGTTAGAGATATGTATGTCTTTTGACAGTTCTTTATTCTAAATTAGCCAAAGGAACTCAGCATGGAACAGGTTAAGTAATGGATTTTATTCAGTTATGTCAGTGACATTCTGTGTCATATACTCCTTAATTTGTAATATTTATGAACATGATTTGATAATGAAGCATGAATGTGCAAACACATACATAACTATCACAATAATAAACCTATTTAAAGATGAAATTAAATTTATGATATTGCTTCAAGTGTTACATCAATGACAATCTGCAAACAGTTGTGAATATAATATAATAATTTCAGTCATGTTTTGTGTACCATTAATGAGAGTTGTTATAGTTAAGAGAACATTATAATATGTGATTTGTTCTGCAGTGTGAGTGGTTGCTTGGAGAGCGTCGTAAAAGCCTGGAAGGTCTGGACATTGGTTTGGACCCAGAGGGATCCATATATAAAGCCATAATGTCAAATCCAGTAATACAACTCAGCCTCACCAGTCCAAAGATGCTTCTAGGTATGTTTGTACAAAACAAACTTAGGATGTCCTGTGTCTCTTATATTAATGTTTTCATTGCATTCACCACATGGAACAGGGTTAAGGTGAAACAGGGTCTGTAACTTACTTCCCATATTTGTATTTTTCTATCAGTCCAGGCACAAAGCAGTATACGTGTTACATTGGATCTTTTCATGATTAAAACTGTTATGAGTCCAAGAATGTTGTATGCCACAAAGCCATGAAGCAAGTTGGCTTAAGTGGAAACACTTCTGACGTGTGTATTGTCACATGTATTAGTGACTTTATATGTGGGTTTGGATTGGTGAGTCAGTTTATTGGACATTCACTAGTCTTATATACAAATAATTATAACACTTTCAAGATTATTAATGTGGTATAAGTACAGTAAAGTCTTCTATATCTGCTTTAACTTTAACAGATCTAAACAATGGCCATTCCTCTGCAAAGTTTTCCCTATCCATTTTCTGGCAACGGATTTTAACACAGGAACGCTGTCACACTTCCAATATCACTGCACTACAGCGAACATGAAGTCTTCAGATCACATGTTAAACCTTCAGAGGCTGACTTCTTGTACCCTTCTGTACTTTAGTTACAATTCACTGTAATCCTACCAAGTCCAAGTCACATTGCGACTGATGGTCAGTCAGTCAGTAAGTCTTGGTGTCGAGCCCCATCTGGGGCTCATGACCAGATATTTATTACTCTTTGGCATTTACAGTCTTGTTTTTGTGGGGCGCCCTCTCTGACAAGAGGACGGGTCTGCCTTTTTGCCAGTGCAGTCTTTCTCGGGGTCTTGAGTCCCTTGGAACTCATGACCATATTTTACTGTCTCAGATTTGAAACTTCCCTTTTCGTCGCCTCCTACGACTCGCAGGGTCACGGTGGAGGTGTGGGGACATCCCAAATAGCACGCTGTTTCCACCAGTCTTTTAGACAACACTCACTCCTTAGTGAATATTGCATTGCCGGACGTTTCATTCATATTTATACCAGCACACACTGCAAATTTCTGCTCCTCATTTTTTGCTAGCCAATCAGCGCTCTGCAAATTGTTGCTCCTCAAATGCAAGTTTCGCTCTGCCCACCGAGCATTGTGTAAAAGGCAGAGCACAAGCTCGCAAGTGAGCAGTCTTCGATCAGTTCCACATCAGTCTACAGCACTCTTTGTCGCCAGTGCTCGGTCTTCAGAGGCATCGGCACTTCGCTACGCCAGGCACGACTGCCTCGGCTGTCCGGCGGTCTCACCCGACTCACTGGGCAACTCGGCCGCCTCGATTCGCCGGTGGTCATGCCCGACACACTGGGCAACTGGTGTAGCTACCGCCTCTCCACTCCTGCGACCACACTCGGCAAGCAAACATTTTCCAGCAACCAAGCAACCTCCAGCAACAGCCGCACTGTGGCCAGTCAACTGACTCAGCCGCCTCAACACACTGCAACCAACATCCCTTCCTACTGGCGCGCGCCACGCTACTTCACCGGCCAAGCATCTCAGCAACCAACGGTCCTTTTCAGGACGTACAAACTGTTCTGAAGAAGTGGGTTGTCGTTGAAGTAACGACAAAACAAAAACCCCACACAGGTATTCAACCCCGCCTTCACACAGGGCTGTAATCCTACCCAAGTCCAAGTCACATTGCAACTGACGGTCCGTAAGTCTGTCTGTCTTGGTGTCGAGCCCTGACTGGGGCTCATGACCAGATTTTTTTTTTCTTCTATGAAAGTTACTGTCCTGTTCAGTTCACAGCTCTTGTTATGTAGCCATGGGATGGACCTCATAGAAAACAGTTCTATTGTTGATGAGTTCATCATGTTGCATAGCATGGTCCGATATGTGGAAATGTGTTTAACTAGCCATTGCCTAGAAACAGATTGCATAACCCCAATCTTCTATTGTTGACAATATTATATTTCAGCATCCTGTTACACTCACACAATATATATGGACAAATACCGTCTTAAGTGCAACAATTTTATTGTAGTTTTTACTTCTTTTTCCTCTTCCACACTACATGTTTCGGCCCTAAATGGCCATCATCAGGTGTGTATCACTCACGCAACTGTTACACTGCTTGTTAAAAATTTAAAAACACCAGTCTTTCCAATGGTATAAAATCTTTGTCAATCTACACGCGTCAATTTGATCTTTAAATTAGCACTTTTTAAACCCCAATTCAAGTTAAAATGTCTATAAGATCTTTGTTCTCTTTCTTTTTCAAATTTTTCAATTAAAGTTTTTCAGGGTACATGCCCTATATCTACGGTGCTTGTTNCCGTAGATATAGGGCATGTACCCTGAAAAACTTTAATTGAAAAATTTGAAAAAGAAAGAGAACAAAGATCTTATAGACATTTTAACTTGAATTGGGGTTTAAAAAGTGCTAATTTAAAGATCAAATTGACGCGTGTAGATTGACAAAGATTTTATACCATTGGAAAGACTGGTGTTTTTAAATTTTTAACAAGCAGTGTAACAGTTGCGTGAGTGATACACACCTGATGATGGCCATTTAGGGCCGAAACATGTAGTGTGGAAGAGGAAAAAGAAGTAAAAACTACAATAAAATTGTTGCATTTAAGACGGTACTTCTATTGTTGGTTGGTGCAGACCACATAATAAACACAGTTTCCCCTATATTTTTGCTTGTTGGGAAGTGTTTACTCTGCCGTTGCTTGGCAATGCTTTGATCAAATCTGTTACAGTATTCTCCTTTCTCATTTTCTTATTCTTACACTTCCTCCTCCTCCTCCAGCATTTCCACTTGTGGGTCATCTGACCTCTCAATATTTCAGATAGTCAGAAAGTCTGTTCAAGTGAGAAAATACTCTTCTCTGTTCTCATGCACTGTTGCTTTTTCCAACCACGTGAGGTCCCTTCTCACTATGGCATGCATATTCTCAGGTTATGAATAGAGGAGATGGACACCAGATATGGAAGGTAGCTGTTAAAATATTGAATAATTGGTTACGAACAGCTACAAGTAATAGCCCTCCATCTTAATATAATACTAACCATAATTTGCAGAATGTAATAAAAGTCTGTAAACCACTTACAGTGCCGGTCACGGTAGCCAAGCGGTCTAAGGCATGCACTGTCTTCGCTCGCTTGGAAGCCAAGATCGTGGGTTCGAATCCTACCCAGGGCATGGATGTTTATGTGCGTTTTTCTGTGTTTGTCTACAGGTAGAGGCCTTGCAACAAGCTGATCACTTGCCCAAGGAGTCCTACCGTATGTGTAAGATCTAGAAAAACCAAAGTGAACAGAGTTCATGGAGGTAGGCCTAGGCCCCACTGGGGCTGTAGTGCCAAGGGAAAAAACCACTTGCAGTAAACATTGTGCTGTAGTATATTGCTAATGTGACTGGTGTTGTGACAGCTTTCCTGTCCTTGCTGGAGAATCCTAGCAGTGCCAACATATGGATGAATGACCCAGATGCATCACCTGTGCTAACCCAGATCTTCAAGATTTACCAAGCAGAGAAGCATGCTCTTCAGACGAACCATGATATGGAGCAGCAACAATTACAGTCCACAGGAAGATTATGAAGCCGGCCTTTGCCAGTCACACTCCGAGGTCTAAACTGATTTTGTGCAGCTGTTTTACTTGAAGAGGCTGATGATTGAAGTCATATTTATTTTTCATGATTAAATACCAGACATCTACATAGGGGCAGAAAACTAAATGTGGAATTCTAGTAATTAAGCATTACATTTACCTGTATATTGTTAACAATGATGATAAAGGTTCTCTTCTATCTATATACACCAAGATCTTGTTTTGTAAAAGAGATGTATCCCTTCAGAGTCCATTAAACAAAGATTAATCATTGATCAAATTAAGGACAGTAACACTGCACAACAAAATTAATAATGTTTGCCTGTCTTTTAAAGTAAAGTGGGAGATTCAAGTAAAACTGAATGTGCTCAATCTCGGTCTGAGTTTGAAAATTTTATCACCCACCATTTGCAAGGGAATGGCTCAGAACTTGACATACAACATAAGATATGTGGCTGGATATAACATGACGATCTTTTAGCCAATGACTGCATGGCATGACAGCCTCCTCAGTAGTGGCTAAGTGATATTTGGCTTCATATTGACCAGTAGCAGGAGTTTGTGAGATGTTACATATTTTCACAAAATCATGAATGTTAATATTTTCATAATCTGTACATAAAAATATACTGGAATTGTCAAATTTTTCTGCAAAGAGAAAATAAATGTTGTATAATATAACTGGAAATATATTATGTATGTCTAAATGAGCATTCACACCCCCATTTTTAAATGTGGAATTTTAAGAAATAAATTAATATTTTATATATGAAGGACTACAAAAGGTGAGTTGTGTTACTAGATCCAGACATCTGGACACCAGCACCAACACAAGGAGGTAGGGACTAGCTCTATCAATTGGGCCCAAATGAGTAGGTTCCAGCTGAAGACAGAAACAGAATAAAGTCTTCAAAATGTTGTGTTTAAATAAAAACAGGAAAATGGATAATGTCCAGGAATGCAATAATTGTATTACTATACCATTGTCACAAACTTCTAGATCTTAATTTGGAGACACGATATTTTGAAAACAGATCCAGTTTCCGAAACGTTGCGTCTATTACCTAAAATTCTGGATGATGGGAAAAGTTCAAAACCCCAGTAATTCTGTGAATAAATTATGTCAGTCAAAAAAAAAAATTTTTTTGTTAACTTCTGTAATGGTTATTCTATATGTGAATATATATACACACAAAGAACAGGTCTGATAAAACTGATCATGTGGTATATATAAAAATATAAATTTTCTGTTTCCTTCTCAGTTCCCTCTTTCCTACATACCTAATACAGCACATTAGAACACGCAGTTTAATCCATACTCTTGCAAATATTTATGATAGACAAAGCTATGAAAGTGATGTGCAAATATTATGTTAGAGTAGTTGGTGAAAAAGAAAAAAAAAGATAAAGCTATCCCTGTAACAGGCCATGGAGGTCCATAGGTTTGTGGGATGTTGAGGCTCCTACATTTTCTAGACCATTGGCTCACTGATGATGGTAAGGTTTCCAGCCTTACACACCAGCCGTCCTTTAACCCCAGCAAGATTCCTGGTACTCATTTCTGTTAAAGGCTAAGTTGACCCCAGGGCCATAGTGTGGCTGGAAGGGTTAGGTACAATGAAAGAGTCCCATGACTTTGGGAATCAAGGCAACACACGCACGCACAGCAGCCAGGGAACTATTGGGGTTGGTGTTTTATAGTTGGTCCGCAATTTGCCAGCATTCATTCAGAATTGTTGTTTCCCCAGAAGCTATCTAGGGCCATATTTAAGGGGTAGTGAACATGGCAGATGCCCCAGGGTCTCAACAAAACAGACAGAATCCACTGATTTTGTTGAGACATTTGCTTTGCTTCAAGAAAAGTTGGTTTATATTTTTGGTTATTTTAATAAATGAAAATATACAAAAAACAAGTCAAACCGAAATTTGTTACTTGCCTCCACATTTTGATTGCCTCAGGGTACCCACAACTGTAAACCTGGCCCCTTTTCTGTTAATACATTTTAAGGACCTAAGTGAACTTGTGTGTACTCATACATACTATCCCATATATCTTCATGGCGTGGTGCTTAATTGACTAAACATATGGACAACTTTACCTTTAATTTTATAACCTAAATTTGTTGCTACTGACAGGGGCCTCCACAACTGTAAATCCAACCCTGCCACAATCACCACATGTATAACAGGATTCATTGCTCACTGCAGGTCAACTTTGCCGGTATACCTTGCCTGTATCATTGAGTGTGGATTGGTGGAGCACCACCGCAAGTATAAATGTCCCCAAGAGCGATGAGAAATTAAGACACTATGCTACAAACCAAGAAGGTTGTGGTTTCGATTTTCGATGAAATCATTGGATTTTTCAATTGACCTAACCCTTCCAGCCGCACTATGTCCCTCGGGTCGACTCAGCCTCTGACAGAAATGGGTACCATGAATCTTTCTGGGGGTGAAGGGCGGTCGGCCGACGCGTAAAGCTGACAACCTCACCACCATCTATGAGCCGATTGTCTAGAAAATGTGGGAACCTCGACGTCTCACAACCCTACGAGCCTGCACGGCCTGTGACAGGGATAACTTTCCCTTACCTTTTACGCAGTTTTATTACGGCTTCTTTTATGGTGGTGTCAGCACTGTAGGCTGTGTACTATCGAGTTATGGGACTGATAAGAATTCAGAAGGATTCGGAGGAAAGCGTTTGTGGCCTGATCGAGGTAATATTACTGTATATGCCTGTTGGGACTGAGGAAAACCACGAAAACCAGTAAGTGTAGCCGGTGTGCAGGCTGAGATTGAAGCCGGAAACTTCGAATACAAGTTCAGAGAAACGTCCTAGCCCCTTTAGTTAAAAAGAGACCACCTTCTGGAAACTTCGTCACACTTAATGGCACGGAACTTCCAAACACTGCAATGGATAACATCTTTGGTGTCGTAACCATTAAAAAAGATTAATTTACACTCTTTCCTGGCATGTTTAGATTACAGCTAATGAATGTTCACGACATGAACAAAAGATTAAAGAAAATTATATTTACATTTAACAACAGCAATATAGAAAAAAATATTTATAAATTGTGGCCTCATAAAATCAGGCCGCCACCTTCGACCGCTTGGTTCGCCTGTGATCTCGCTCTAGCCCCGATTGTTGACGGTTTAGCGGTTGTTTAGCTCAACTGAATCTGAACACATTTCAGTTAAAATTCAAACAATGGTTTCAGTCACAACACGTAAAGCGTATTTTCTTATAGTATTGATTTCCTGTCTTATGAACTTTTGTTGTTGATGTAATTTTTTTTGCAAGGAGAATTTACACTCGAACAGTGACAAGAAGAGTTGGAATAGCTCAGTCAGTATAGTGAACAGGCTACGAATTGGACGACCTGGGAATACAAGTTAGATTCCCGAGAGGGGTTGGAATTTTATATCTTATCCGCTGCGTTCAGACGAGCTCTGGGGCCCACCCTGCGTCATATCAAATGGGTACCGTGGATAGAGAGCCCCAGACGTGAGGCTGATTCCTCACTTCCAACAAGTGTCGACGTTAAGAATGTGTGGCACTATACCTCCTCTCCCCCATACGTCTATATGGTGTCTTGCTGTGTTAAGTACAGGGATAATACCTTTCCTTCACAATTACGAGCAATTTAGCCTATTGTTACTGCCATGGATGTGAGCCTGTATTGTCATGTGATGCAACCTTAGTTGGGTTTGAATCCTTCAATGCTTGCAATTCTAAACAAATTACAACCAACAAGAACAAAGGTAAATCTGCCCCTGTGCTTAATCAATAAAGCACGGCGCCATGAAGACGTATGGAGGAGTGGAGGTATAATGCCATCATTCTTGACCTCGACACTAAATGGAGTTGAGTGGTCAGCTTCACGCCCCGGTCGGTTTACCCTCCGGGAAATAGTACGCGGCACCTAGTGCATAGGAGACTACCTTGGCCCCAGGGTCAATCTAGACGCTGTGTTGCAGAGAAAAATCTCTTGCACCTGGCGGGAATCGAACTGCCGCCTTCCATCCCATAGTCCGTCGCTATGCCGACTGAGTTATCCCGGCTCATAATAATTCAGTTCAATTTACGTGCAAACTTAACAGCTCAGAGGCCAATTACAAAGTTAGCACGAGTGCGTAGAAAGACACAATAAATTAATGACAGTAAAGTAAAGTAAGTAAAGGTATCCCTGTAACAGGCCGTGGAGGCCCATAGGGTTGTGAGATGGTGAGGTTCTCACATTTTCTAGACAGTCGCCTCACAGATGGCGGAAGGTTTGTTAGCCTTAAGCGCCGGCCGCCCTTTAACCCCAAGAACATTTCTGGTACTCATTTCTGTTAGAGACTAAGTCGACCCCAGGGTCATAGTGCGGTGCGGTTGGAAAGATTAGGTAAATTGAAAAAAAAAATCCAATAACTTCATCGGGATTTAATCCCACGACCTTCCGGCTTGTAGCATAGTGCCTCAACCAACTACGCTACCGCGTGCCCCAAATTAATGATAGTTTCATGAAAAATTAAAGTTGTGAGTAATATGTGAGAGAAAGGTAAGATAAGTACATACACAGTTAGAAGTTAATACTAATAACAAAAACTCAATCAAGTCTTACTTATTTGTGTGCTAGATCAACATCCAAATGATGATGATGATAATAATAATAATAATAATAATAATTACGTATTATAGAAAATAAAAAATGATTGAGCAGAATATTTCCTGCCCCCGAATACAATAACTTCCCTGCAAAATCATAAGAAGTTAATTCAATTCAGTTCAGTTCAGTTCTTTATTATT